AAAAACCCAAATACGTTCGCACGCCGTTTCTTCTTCATGCGCCTCTTCTGCGTGGTCGTGGGGGCCGTGCAGTGGCAACCCGCACAGTAGGGATGGGCAACCTTCCCACGGATACAGAACATACCTCTATCCTTTCCTCGTTTTCCCTTTCCTGGGCCTCCTCGGAGGCCATCGTCGCCACCGCTGGATTCGCCTCGAAATTCTGGTCAGAACGCACCCCGAGAGAAGTCCAGGGGGCAGCGGTATCGGTACCTTTTGGCTTTCCCAAAGGGTACCCGGGCACCCTTGCCCCCTCGGCCCATCCTCGGCCGCTTTCGCCGGCCGCACCCCGCTCGCAGAGTGTCGCGACATGGCCTCCCAAGGCCCTTGCATCCTTCTCCTGCGTCCTTGTGATGCGGGTTGACTGTGCCCAGTGGAAACCCATACCAAGAAACACCCTGCTTGCCTCCAGGGTGCCCTGGGTTTCGTGGGTTTCGATGGCTTTGCTGTGGGAGGCGTGACGTTCCCACACCGAAGTCAGTGGGCGTCCTGGTGATCGTTCTCTTATTCACTGTTTTGCTGATCGGCGCGGGCCCTCGCATCCCCTCACCCCCCCCATGGAGTAGATCTGGGCTGTTTTTGGCGCCTGTTTCAAGCAGGTGGAGTCCCCCCCACTGGACGCACTGTTGCAAACAGCCGCGTTGAGCAGAGGTCCGGAGCCAGACCCCCCCCCCTTCCCCCCCTCTTCCGCCCCATGTCGCAACGCCGAATTACGAAAACGTTCGCCTGGGGTCTCGTGGTTGGGTGTGTCGCGTTAAGCAGAGGTCCGGAACCAAACCCCCGCCTTCCACCCCTCTTCCGCCTCATGTCGCAACGCCGACTTACGAAAACGTTCGCCTGGGGTCTCAGAGGGGGAGGAGGGCGAGGAGGGCGAGGAGGAGGAGGAGGAGGAGGAGGAGGAGGAAGAGGAGGAGGAGGAGGAGGAGGAGGAGGAAGAGAAGGAGGAAGAGAAGGAGGAAGAGAAGGAGAGAGAGGGGAGAAGAGGAGACGAGGAGGGACGAGGAGGGGAGGAGGAGGGGAGGAGGAGGAGGAGGAGGAGAGGGGGAGGAGGGGAGGAGGGGAGGAGGAGGCGGAGGAGGAGGAGGAGGAGGAGGAGGAGGAGGAAAAGGAGGAGGAGGGGGAGGTTCGGTGTCCTGCGGGGGGGTTCTTGTGGTCGAGTTCCTGCTGTGAGCACAGGCTGCCGCCGGCCCGCGTGGACCTCTTGGCTCCGCGCTGGGCCCTCCCAGCGGCGGGCTCCGCGCGCCAGGGAAGGGGGGGCCCAGAGCCGCCCCCAGAAGTCCGCGCAGGCCCCTAAAACATTTGATATTTTATTTTTTATGTATATATATATATATATATATGTATATAGAATGTGGTGTTCGTATCTACAGAGATAGGTATATAACAAGGATGCAAGCAATATTGCTTGTTCAGCTCGAAAGGCTATGTTTGTGACGCCTCTGCTCGTCGTCTGGAGGCGGCAGACGCGGCCGATCGGCGAGTTCGGCGGGAACTTCGGCGGTTTCTTCTGGTCGGTCTTCATCCCATTCTGCATCTGGTACTTCTACGGCTGCGTCGTCCTGAACGAGGGGGCCCTGCAGCTCCCGCCGTGGGACCACGCCTGGTGGCGCAGGCTCTACCATGAGCTCCCCGAGGGCATCGCGATCCGGCCGACGTGGGTGGGCACCATGTCCTACGTTGCCTGGGTCATCTTCCAGGCTGTGATGGAGATCGTACTGCCCGGGGAGATCCACGACGGCGTCAAGCTGAAGAACGGCAATCGCCTGAAGTACCCCATGAACGGCCTGCTGGCGTACTTCTTGTCCCACGTAGCGGTCGTGGCGCTCTGCTACTTCGACCTCGTCGAGGCGACCTTTGTGTGGAAGAACATGGGCGCTCTACTGACTGGCGGCGTGATCTCCACCGCTATTGTCTCGTGGTGGCAGTATATCGATTTCGGCCTCTTCTGGAAGCGCCACGTGAACGACCCGGAGTTCGAGGAGGACTGGGGCGTCTTCACCGTGAAGGAGATTTGGAGCGACTACTGGCTCGGGGTCGCGCGGAACCCCCGCTGCTTCCACAAGTGGTTGCCGAAGACTGGGGGTTTCGACATCAAGCGCTTCTCCAACGCGCGCGCCGGCCTGACGATCTGGATCATCTGCAACTGGTCCTACATGGCGGCGGTCTACTACGGGTGCTTTCTGAAGGACAGCGGAGAGCCAGTTTGCCAGGCGACTGGCGATTGGAGCCGCATCGGTCCGTCGGCCGTCTTCATCTCGCTGGCACACTGGTACTACATCTTCGACTACAACTGGAACGAGCCCGCGTACCTCACCACCACGGACCTCCGGCACGACCTCTACGGCTTCATGCTGGCCTACGGTTGCTGCGGCTTCCTCGCGTGGTACTACCCGATCGCTTTCATGGGCCACATCGCGGGCCAGAAGACCCCTCTCACGGAGAATTACCTCAACTTCGGCATAGGCCTCACGCTCTACCTCATCGGCATGTATCTGTTCCGCGTTACCAACATCGAGAAGCATCGCTTCCGCACCTACATCGCCGACGGCGGCGACCTGAACACGTACAAGGTCTGGGGCAAGCCCGTGCAGTACGTCAAGACAGAGGAGGGTAGCTACCTGCTGGCGTCCGGCTACTGGGCCCTGGCGAGGCACTTCAACTACATCGGGGACATGGTCATGTGCGTCGGCTGGACGGTGGCATGCACGGGGCCGAAGCACGGCTTCCCCTGGATCCCCCTCAGCTACGTTGCCTACTTCTGGATCATGGACATCCACAGGCTCTGGCGGGACGAGGAGCGCTGCGCCAGAAAGTACAAGAAGGACTGGGAGACCTACAAGGAGAAGGTCCCGTACTTCATCCTGCCCGGCATCTTTTGAGAGTTTGGGGCGTGTGCGCCAATCACCTCTTGCGCGCGTGTGAGCTGCGCGGTCTTCACGTATCTCAGGGCCTTGGATACGGCTGCGCGAACGTAAGCGCAGATGGTTGTTCAATTCGTCATGTGTCTGCCGATGTGCTTACTCATGTATGGGACCGTACGCGGTTTGCGATCAGAAGGAACAGCAGCACCAGCAGTTGCACCGGGAGGAGGATCAGGAGGAGGAGGAGGAGGAGGAGGAGGAGGAGGAGGAGGAGGAGAGAAGAGAAGGATGAGTAGGAGGAGTAGGAGGAGGATGAGGAGGAGAAGAGAAGGAGGAGTAGGAGGAGGAGGAGGAGGATAAGGAAGACGAAAGGGAGGAGGAGGAGGACGAGGACGAGGACGAGGAACGGGTGCAGGAGGGGGAGGCCGTGATGAGTGGAAAAGGTAGGAGTCCGACTGGAGTCCGACTGGAGCTGGAACCACTGACCCCTCTCACCCTGCCTCACCCTTCCTCCGCCACCTGCGTTCCGTGGGCGCAGCGAAGGCTGCGCGCTTGAAGACAGAGTCGACGGAGATTCGGCGGACGGTGGAGTTCGCGCCTTTCTCTTTGAAAGGGCGCCATCTGTGAACTCTGGGGAGAGTGTGTTCGAGCTGGAGGGGAGGGGGGCACTCAAAATTGCAAGGGGTGGGGGGTTCGAGCAGGGGCCTCCCCCCTCCTCAAGTGGGGGGGGTCGAACCGGTGTGGGGGCGCCCCCCCCCCCCCCCACTTCAATTGCTGGGGGGGGGTCGAACCGGGGACCCTCCCCCCTCCCTCCCTGGTGGCAACCGGCGCCGTCGACGACGACGATCGAGCCTTAGCACGATGCTATCAAGGCTGGATCGAGTCCTAGTAAGACTCGATCAGAGCTGGACCGAGCCCTGGTAGGATCAAATTCGAGTTGGATCTAGCTATAGCAGGATTCTATCCGAGACGGATCGAGTCCTCAGAGGAGCCGATTCGAGCTGGATCCAGCTGTAGTAGGACTCTGTTAGAGTTGGATCGAGCCTGACTAGGATGCTACTAAAGTTGGACCCAGCTGATGTAGGGTCTCATAAAAGCTGGATCGAGCCCTAGTGGGAGTTCATTAAGGAGAGGGGGGCGGGGGGGGCGGGTTCGACCCCCCCCCTGGACCAGGCCCGCTCCCCCCCCCCGTCTCCTGGTCGAACACCCCTCCGGGCTCTTGGAAGGAGGGGGGGCGGGGGCCCGGGAGCGGTTCGAGAGGCCGGTGTCCAGCCCCCCCCCCCCAGCGCGGGCCTGCGGGCGCCTCAAAGGTAGGCCCAGACATCCGACGCTCCAGCAAAGATTGGAGCGGGCGGTTTGGGGCCGGTGTCGGCCTGTGGCGGCCCTCGCCGGCTCCCTCCTCCGTCCTCCCTCCGCCCTCCTCCCTCCTCCCTTCTCCCTCCTCCCTCCGCCCTCCTCCCTCCAACCTCCTCCCTCCAACCTCCTCCTTCCTCTCTCCTCCCTCCTCCCTCGGGCCTCTTCCCTTCTCCCTCCTCCTTCCTCCCGCCTCCCTCCTCCCTCCTCCCTCCTCCCTCGGGCCTCGGGAGCTTGGGAGAAAACGATTCGGGACGAAAAGCCGGGCTACATAGGGAAGTGGTCCGGGCCGGCCTCCAGGGGCCCAGGCATCGACGAACATTGGAGCAGCCAGATGCTTGGGGAGGGGGGCCGGTTCGGACGTGTCCAGCCAGCGGTCTTCTCCGGGCAAGCGTCCACGAAACGCGCGTTCTGTTGTCTTTGTACGTGGAGGCGGGGCAGCGGCCGGTCGGAATCAGGGTCACAAGGGATGCGACCGTCGTGGAACGCGTTAGAGGCTGCGCCTCTGACAGGAGGAGCCCGACGGTGAGACTGAAGCGGCCGGCTGGGGATACAGCAGAGGCTGCGCATGCCAATCCGTAGCTCCACAGGCTGTGGAGGGGCCTGGGCGGGGGGCGGCACCGAGAGACTCGCGATCATTCGACCAAGAAACGCACGACGCCACCCCACCTACGCCACGCCGCGCTGGATGTTTGCAATGTTGCCTCGCTGTCCTTCGCGTGGTGCTTCCTGGCCGACGGCGGCGCGATGGCGACGTGCTGGGCGGTCGCAGTTCGTCATGGCTTCGGCGTGCGGTCCCGTGGCCCGCCGCGACGCCCGTTGGTCCAGAGGCTTGGCCTCCCCCTGGAGGGTCACTCTCCGTGCCCACGCTGGCTGGTCAGGCTCGCCCACACGCTGCGCCACGTGGGCGACGGAAGGAAACGAGGCCCATTGCGCGGAGAAGCGCGCTTGAGCTGCCTCCGTTAAGGGCGCGACAGATGGCCATGCCCGCATCTCAGGTATTCCTCCTCCTCGCTCTCACCTGCCCCTTCCTCTTCTCTCTGTCCTCCTTGGGGGTTCCTCCTCCTCTCTCTCACCTCCCCCTTCCTCTTCTCTCTTGGGGATTCCTCCTCCTCCTCGCTGTCACCTCCCCCTTCCTCTTCTCTGTCCTCCTTTGGGTGGGGGGGCGGCCAGGCGAGTGAGGCCAGGCGCGCCATTGTGCAACAACTGCGTCGGCGTCAGCGTCGGCGGCGTCGGCGTGAGCGTCGGTGGCGTCGGCGTCGGCGTCGTCGAGGGCAGACGTCGGCGCCGTTGTCGAAGTCATCTTCGTCGTCTCGTCCTGATTGTTCTCCTCCCGATCGGTCTCCTGTCCCCGCCCTCCTCGAGGAGGCGGCCAGGCGAGCCCAGCAAGGCCTGGTGCGCCAAGTGCAGCAGCTGCGTCGGCGGCGGCGTCGTCGGTGGCATCGGCGTCGGCGCCATCGATCCTTCTCTTCCTCTCCCCCCTTTCCCCATCCCTCGCCTCCCCGCCCCTCGCCTCCCCGCCCTCCCTCCCCGACCCTCGCCCCCCCGCCCTTTCGCCTCCCTCCTCCCCCTGTCCCTCGTCTCGCCGTCCTCCCCGGCGGGGCGGCCAGGCGAGCCGAACAAGGCCGGGCGCGCCAAGTGCAACAACTGCGGCAAGCCGCACCTGCCAGCCGCCGCGGCGCCGGCCGTCGCGGCGCCGGCCGCGGCCGCGCCGGCAGCGGCCGAGGCCGACGGCGGCGCCGCGGCGGAAGCGCAGGCCCGCGCCGGGCTCGCCTGCGCTCCGGGGCCGCGGCACTCCAGGGCCTGGGGAGGAGGGGGAGGAGGAGGAGGAGGGAGGAGGAGGAGGAGGAGGAGGAGGAGGAGAGGAGGAGGAGCAGGAGGAGGAGGAGGAGGAGGAGAGGAGGAGGAAAAGGAGGAGCAGGAGGAGGAGGGGGAGGAGGAGGAGCAGGAGGAGGAGGAGGAGGAGGAGGCGGAGGAGGAGGAGGAGGAATCCAGGAGGAGGGTTCAAGGAGGAAGAGGAGGCCGAGACCAAGGGTGAGGAGGAGGAAGACCAGGAGGAGGGCTCCAGGAGGAGATGGAAGACCGGAAGACCCGCGCCTGTGCCGCCTGCGCTCCGCGGTCGTGGTTCACCAACAACAACCCGCATGCTAAAATCCGTTAACAATTCAAGCGGATATCATGGATCTTGGCCTCTCGGGGCGCTCTCAGGGGGCTCCTCTTGCAGCTCTTCTGGGGCGGGCCCGGGTCTCCTCAGGCCATCGTGGAGCCATCTCGTGCGTCTTGGGAAGAGTTCTTCGGCCGTCTCGGAGGCCTCGTGGACCCTCTTGGGGGCTTTTTGAGGCCCTCTTGAGGCTCTCTCGCCTCCGGAAGAGTCGCGCGGAGACACGCGACAAGGACCCCCCAAACCCAGGAGCGCCCAGGATCGCCCAGAACTCGGAGTGGCGGGCCTTGAAACAACAGATCAAGTCGCCATACAGGGGACTCCTCTGAGGTACTGAGGGGACTCCGCTCAGTGCCTCGCGTCAGGGTGACGGATATATGTGCATCATTGATTGGCGCAGATACTACGTATTTGCATACGCTCCTTCCTCTTCCACCTTCCCTAGGTCCCGCGTATTGCGTTCCCCTGGTCCCCTCTGTTGGTCCTCTTGCTGGGCCTGGTCCTGTCTGTGCAGGTGTGTGTGTGTGTCTGTCTGTGTGTGTGTGTCTGTGTGTATGTGTGTCTCTTGGTGAATCTGGCGGATAGCGCGCGCAGTGAGTGCGCAGACCGTGTGTCCCAGCTCGTCCTGTTGTTCACGTGTGTTGGCATCCATGGTCCATGGGTGCTCCTCAGCTACGTTAGAGTTATGATGATGCTTCCTCCTCCTTTGCTCCCCCTCTCTTCGTAATATGTCCTCCCCATATTACTTTCATCCTCTTTATGTTTCTTCCATCTTACGTGTTCTCTCCCTCGTTCTCTCTCTCTCTCTTTCTTTGTTTTGTTTTCTCTCTCTCTCTCTGTCCTCGCGCCGACCTCCATCGATCTCACCCACGTAGTCCTTGCTTCATGGATTCATCTCCTCACCCTTCCATCCCTTCTCTACTTCTCCTCGCCGCTGCTCCCGAGCAGCAGGAGGAGCAGGAGGAGGAGGAGGAGGAGGAGGTTGAGCGAGAGGAGGTAGATGAACTGGCTTGACGGTTAACAGTGATAAGTGGGGAAAGGAGCAGAGGAGGTAGGAGGAGCGCGAACAGTGTTCCATCTCTGGCG